ACGACTTTGGGTTTTGCAAAGTAATCAATACATGCACCGATTGTCTTTGTTTTGTGCTTTATTTTTGTTAAGTCTCAACCATTGTAAAATGTTAAGTTCTCATGGATCCAACCATGCTTCCTGTTATGGCTATTTACACTAGTAAAATTGTTTATTTCTTCCTTAAGACTGGGAGGAAGACAGTTTCTAAAGAATTTCTCGGAGAGGTTTAGAATGTATTGCTTAACAGGAAGAATGTTTGTTCTCTCATGTAGTTCTGTAATTCTGGTGTCCCTTGCACATCCAAGGATTAGCCTCAGACACCTGTTTTGAGTGCGTTGCAGTTTATTAAAGTGTGTATCTGCCATGGAACAGAAAACTGGACATCCATATGTCAATATCGGCCGAAGAACTTGTTTGAATAATAGTTGCTTGTTTTTTTGTGTTACCGCGCTGTTTTTGGCTAACATTGGGTATAATGTTCTGATCATGGCCGTAGTTTTTGCAATTCGGTCAGCGATATGTTTTTTGAACGTTAGTCTCCTATCTAGATAGAATCCTGTTCTCGGTTAGGACCCCGCCGGTTGACACATCGCTCAGTGTTTCGTCGGACTGAATCGCATAAATATCCAGTCCGTGTGAATTATTATTTAGTTTGTGTGTCGCTGTCGAGGATTATGTTACTGTTGTCTGTATATGCCAAGATTTGAATGCAAGCACCCGTGTTTTCTACGCACGTTGTCTCCCTGATGGATATTCATGATGCTATCCCTAGGTTCATCGGGTAGACATCGCGCGTAGAAGTTTCCTGCTATTTTAAGGATAAAATCTTTAATCATTGGCATATTTGTCGTAGTGTGTATGTCTCGTATTCTAGCGTAGCGGTCATATCCAAGAGCTAGCCTCAGACATCTGTTTTGAGCGACTTGTAGTTTTGCAAATTGTGTATTAGCCATTGAACAGAACACCGGACAACCATATGTTAGGATCGGCCTGAATATTGTTTTATAAAGAAGTAGTTTGTTCGACAGGGATAGCCGGCTTCGTCTATTTATGATGGGGTACAGAGACCTTAAAATAATCGAATTTTTAGCGCCACCCTGTCTTTTATGTGTGCCTTAAACGTTAACCACTTATCCAGTTGAAAACCAAGGTATTTGAGCTTATCGTTTGTTGTTATTGGCTCGTTTTGCACCTGAAGGGGCGTGGTTATGCATTGTGTCTGCCTTCTTGTAAGAATCATCGATTCTGTCTTATTTGAGTTTATTTTCATCTTGTTTTCAACTAGATATTCGGTCAACGGTCCATTGATATGATCATCAAGCTTTCTGTTCGCTGTTTCTGCGGATTTATGACTGGTGAAAACACAGATGTCATCAGCGTACAGTGCCGTTTGTACCCCATTATTACCCATGGGAATGTCACAGGTCATAATGGTGTACAAATGCGGCGACAGTACTGAGCCCTGTGGTACACCCGCTATCGCTAGGAATGGCCCTGTAATTGTATTGTTTATTTTAATGTTAAATTTCCTGTCTTTTAAGTATGATAGAATTATTTTAAAAATGTGCCCAAGAAAGTCATTCATAAGCATCTTATAGATTAACACACGGTTCCATACGGTATCAAACAGTGGCGGATTTACCAGCAGGCTGAGTAGGCTTGAGCCTAGGGCGGCAGATTTTTGGGGCGGCAAATTTGGGGACCGATTTTTTTTTTTTACCACAAATCAAAAAGATTTCTGGATGACGGTTTTATGTATTCTGTTTTCTGATGTTTTACAGATAGAAGTCTGCAACAAATTTTGCCGACGACTTTCCCTTCTCACTTATCATTTGTCATTGTACGTTCCGTGAATCCGTTTAGCAATCTTCCATATTCTAGAGTAAAACAGCTAGTTCGCCGCCCCCAACCAGTAATCGGTCTTTGCGCCCTCTCCCCGCACAATGAGTGTAAAGAGCAAAATTATAGAAAATGTATTTTTCTTTTCCTACCGTCAACCCATACAGCCAGTCCTACTATTTTTTGGAGGCTGCGAACTGCCCGGTTTGTATATAATTTAGTGATTTTAATTTGAATGTAGTAAATAATTTAATGAATAATTTTACCGATTTTAATCTTACCCAACTAACAAAGTAGCTTTATAATTTTTAGTTTACAAGACTATTATATTTTATTGATATTATATTGTTGTTTCTGGAATGCTAATTTATTGTACTACAGTTGCAGAAATCACTATTTTGTTCTCTGAAACTAAATAGTTATATAAATTAGTTTTTACAATATTCTTACAGCAAAATTATAAAATAGTTTTCACGATAACTATGAAATTGTTACATAAACATTTATACAACTGTTCTATACAATATTTCAGCTTATAAAATAAAATTGCTTTATAGTTATTCTATATTATTGTTCTGGATTACCTTTAGAACTTTTTGGTCATACAAATATAACTGTTTCTTAACCTCATAATAACGCTTTAAAAAATAGTTATATAAATATTAGTGTGAGATAATTCCGCATCAATAGCAATTTGCTTCTGATGAAAACTCTAAAATAACTGTAATATATTGTCGAAATACACTATTATTTTAGTTAAGAATAGTATTATCCCTTTAAAAATATTTATAAAAAAATAAAGCAACTACATTTGGTAGTACCTACGCCATATTATTTTTGTATTTTATGTTTGTTCGACTACTTCCCATACCAATTGTATGTAAGTGTATGGTCTGAAAATGTCAGATTTAAATAGTGAAGAAATATAAAAAATAAGTGGTACCTGCTTTTCAGAGAACAGTAAAAAATATTAGTAAAACATTTTGATGGTTTGTCTAGACACTCAAAAAAAAAAAACTATCAGTAGCCAGATAATAATTAGGTATGTTCTGAATAATCATGCCCCAATACTAAAAGAAAGCCATATTTTTGGCGATGTCCATGTTAAATTTGCTTATTCTCGTAATATTAAAAATTATGCTTGCTCTATAAAGCTGTAGAAACAAATCTAATCATTTCAATTCCCAAATACTTAAATCGGAAACGATTTAGTAAGGTTATGTTATATTTTGTCATATAGTGCAGCAATATGAAACTATTATACAACAAACCATGATGAACTTGTTTTGTAGAAATGAGTAGTACAACTTAATTATTGTATTACAGCTGTTTTTACTACAATAATATTTTATAATTATGATTCAGTCTTAAAATAACTTTCTAATACCTCTGAATAGCTGCCATATTTAACAAAAACCTAAGACAGTTTTAAAGCTAAATCTACTGTCGGTTTTACTAGTATTTAAGACAAAACCAATGTTAATTAAAGATTTTAATCATTAGTAATATTAGCATAATCTTATTACTAAAAAAAAATCAAATTTCATAAATTTAATTTTTGTTTCACACTGAAAAAGTATTAGAAATATGAATCAAACTCGAGGAGCTTAAAAATTTAGTATTGTATGTGCTATATAATTAACAGTAATTCTTGCTGCGCATCCAAAAACGACTTTATTGTAGGTCATACATTATGTCTAAACCGCGTTATAGATATCTCTTAAGTAGATACTGCCATTTTACTAATATCGCCTTGAATTTACTTTTATGACAAATATAGAATTAATTTGTTTTCACCAGATACATTTAAAAAACTAAAATGTTACTGATTTTGATATGCAACCTAACCTCAAAATTGAAAATTTATAAAACAGTTATAAAAGTTTAAAAAAACATTTGTTTAAAGTCTGTGTAAATGTGTAGTAACTGTTCGGTAACTGCATTCAACAAATCTTATAGAATTTACAAAAGAACCAAATAGTTCTGTAATACTGCGCCCATTTTGTGTTTATTACTGTTGAAAGAATGTTCCGGAAATGTTCTTAGCTAATATTCTATTTTATAAATTTTGTTCTGTAAACATTTTTTCAGCTTTTATAAAATATCAAATTGTTACTTGGGTATGTATCGACTATTATGTGTTGAACATGCACTAGCTTTAGAAAATTTTATTTGAATTCTAGAAAAACCTTGAGCAGCGATAGCGAGATAGTCTGAAGTCAAAAAAATATTTTTCCCCGAATGCGGTATTTTTTTAAAATGCTACAATGTTATCAATGACGTCAATGTTGCACGTGCACGTGATAAGGTCCATTCTCCTAATTCTCCATTCCCATAACCGCGTGGGTTACCCCGGTTACCCAAACATATCGAGGCGAAAAACGAAAACAACATCGAAACAAAAGAAAATAAGGCACGAAACTACAAAACCACGAGTTTTACGCTTGCAAAAAATACTGGGTCGTGATTCGAGACGCTCTCTGCTCTATGTTGTGTGGAGTTAGTAAATGCGAACCCGAATTCACGAAATATATTGTAATCATCATTGTTTTAAAATTTCGAGTAGTATGAGTAGGAGTGTCGACGACACTGTGCCGTGATTTTTACCGGCACCTCCAAAATACAGCTGCAACAAAGGCAAACTGTGACTCTAGCGTGCTGCTGTAATTGCAAAACGAATTGATATTTTTACGCGGGTGTGTGCTGTTTTTTTTCGACGTGTTTCGCGGATTGTATGAATTTTTTCACAACACCGGTAAGTAAAAACTTTTAATAATCCCAATAAATAATAATAAATTATCTGTAACGAATCAATTCATTCAAAAGCCCTTCAAAAATATTTTTCATTTCGAAGCTTGGAACATGGTCTCGTTAAACTTTTGAACATTTTCATACTAACTATAAGATATTCTAAAAGAATGCTCATGGTTATCTTATCATTTTGTTTTTTCAATGAAGCAAACATGAAACAATAGAAATAATAATTCACAATAAACAATTCATCGGAAACTATGCAAAGAAGTTTCGATTTTTCGTGATAGGATTAGGATAACAAAAATTACGTTCTTACGCTATTTATTGCGTGAATTCGGAACGAAGGATGCCGTTGCTTGCGTATGAGAAATAAACTTCTTAATTTTATTCTTTCCATTTCAGTTCCTGAATAAAAAATTGTAAAAATGAGTGATGGTAGAAAGCGACTTAGCGGAGCGGAGTACAAAAAGAAGGCCAAAATAAAAAAAGAAGAACAAGAGCAAATCATACGAAAACCCACAAAAATTGACAGTTTTTTCAAAAATGAAAATTGTATCGAAAAGTCGGGAACCTCAACAATGCAATCTGGAAAGGATGAAACGGACTTCAAATCGGCTGCCCATCTGTCATCTGTTGAACTATCGACTAAAGAAAAAGTTGATGATTGTGTTCTTGACGACGAGTGCTCCAAAATTGAAGATGCCTCTCGGACCGAGTCGTTAAATGATGGTCGAATGCAAACAACTGAAGATCAGAACAAGGATCCAGCTTTATGGGAAATTAACGACACTTTAAGGGAAATTATTGCAAGATGCGGCTTCGATCAAAACAAATGTTCTGACTTCTCTAAAAGTGAAAGACTATACGCTGATCAACGTCGTTTCTTGCCAGTGAGTATCTTCCAAAGAAAAATGAAAAACAATGAAGTAAAGGACCGAAATTGGCTGGTTTACTCCGAAAGTAAGAGATCCGTATACTGCGGGCCGTGTTTAGCATTTGGTCCATTGGAGAATAAAAATCAGTTTGAGAACGAAGGATTTAATGACTGGAAAAATGCAGAACTTCGAGTAGCTCAGCATGAAAACTCAGCGCGTCATAAATCCAGTATTCTTAGTTTGAAAGCTAGAAGTACGATTGACGCTCGCATCGATAATTTACTTCATTTGCAAATTGATGAAGAAATCACTTATTGGAGAAACGTTTTGAAAAGGGTTGTTGCTGTAGTGAAGCGGCTGTGTTCAAGAGGTCTCGCTTTTAGAGGAAAAAGTGAAAAGTTCGGTGATCCACACAACGGAAATTATTTTATGATCCTGGAACTGTTAGCTGAGTTCGATCCTTTCTTAGCCAGTCATATTGAGCGGTTTGGGAATCAAGGATCCGGAAGTACGAGTTACTTATCGAAAACCGTTTGTGATGAGTTTATACTCTTGATGGGCCATAAAGTCTTGAAGCAAATTGGAGACGAGATAAGAAGGGCGAAATACTTTTCCTTAATTATCAATTCGACACCGGATATAGCGCATGTGGACCAGCTCACCTTCGTGATCCGATATGTTTCAGAAACCGGAGAACCCTGTGAAAGATTCCTCAAGTTTTTGCCCTCAGTGGGACATAAAGCTGAAGAAATGTTTGCTGCTATTGCTTCGGAACTAAAAACCTTAGGTTTGAATATTCAAGACTGCCGTGGACAATCTTATGACAATGCCGCAAATATGTCTGGGATATACAACGGCTTACAGGCTAAAATTCAACGTCAAGCACCATTTGCTTTTTTCGTTCCTTGCTCTGCCCATTCTTTAAATTTAGTGGCAACAGCGACTGCTGAATCGTGCACAGAAGCTTGTCGATTCTTTATGTTGCTCCAAGAAATATACGTTTTTTTTTTTCAAGTTCGACACAACGCTGGAAGATTTTGATGACTGAAGTTGGAGAAGGCAAAACAGTCAAGAGAGTAAACCTCGCACGTTGGTCAGCTAGAGAGGATGCGTGCAAAAGTTTGAGAGATTCGTGGAACGAAGTCATTAAAGCTTTGGAAGTAATCAGGGACGATTGCACGGAGAAGCCTGTCACACGAAACGAAGCAACGGGAATTCTTTCAAAGTTGAACAAACTAGTAACGGCGTTAATGGTTGTTGTGTGGAACTTTTTTTTAGAAAGAATAAACAAAGTAAATGTTCAAATCCAGGCTTCTACCGTCTATTTGATTACCGTATCCGATCTTTACGAATCTCTTCGCAAGTTTTTCGTGGATCAACGGGAAAACTTCAAGTATTTTGAAGAAATGGCGATGGAATTAAGTGCGTCGAAGCAGTACTCAAAAGAACTCGGAAAAAGACAACCGAACAGAAAAAAATTTGCTGACGAAACACCCGAGGAAGAAATTAGTATGACCGCGAGTGATACTTTCAGAATTAACACATTTCTCGTCATCATTGATAGACTCGCATCCGAATTGGAAAAAAGGAAGAAGGCGTACGACAATTTCAATGAAAAATTTTAATTTCTGACCAAAATGAGCGAATTGTCATCATCAACCCTTACGAAAAAGGCTCGGTCTTTAGAAGAAATGTATCCTAATGATTTAGAGACTGAATTAGTTCCAGAATGCATACATTTTCGAAGCCACATTTCTTCGCAAAGCATTCTGGTGAAACCAGATTCTCCATCGTTGCAAAGTCTATCTTCGTTTCTGCGAAAACAGAGTTTGCAGAACGTTTATCCGAACTTGGACATAGCCCTTCGTATGGCCTTATGTACACCAGCGACGAATTGTTCGGGTGAGAGAAGTTTTTCTTGTCTAAAAAGAGTTAAAAATTATTTGAGATCGACCTTGAGCGAAGAAAAATTAAACGCTTTAGCGCTTTTGTGCATAGAGTCAGAATTGATGAACAAAATCACGTACGACGATATCATCGATGATTTTTCCAACAAAAAATCACGCAAAAAAGTATTGTAACGTACCTTTATAAATTTACCGAATTAAGTATTTTCAACTGTTTGTTAACGCAATAAAGATTATTCATTCTGTTTATTTACGTCTACAATTGTGTAAGTAGCATGCATTACCCCGCCTTCCAAATCTTACATGATTGAGCTTTAATTAGCTCAAAAATATACCTAAAAATTATTTTACGTGCAATTCCAACGAAATTGTTGAATTGTAAAAATAATCTAGGACATGACAATTTGACAATTGTGGAGGCAAGGGCGGCAAAATCTTTACAGCCTATACCTTGAAAATTTGTAAATCCGCCACTGGTATCAAATGCTTTTTCGCTGTCTAGCGTGACAAGTACCGTTTGTAAGCCCTGATTATACGCCTCTTTGACGTGGTGAGCGATTCTCAGGACTTGGGCCACGGTACTATGTCCCTCTCTGAAGCCGTATTGTTCCCGTGGGATAATCTGTAGTCGTTGTTCAATTGTTTTTAGTCTTCGTAGTATTATTGTGTCTGTAATTTTAGCTAGTGTGTTTAGTAGCGATATGGGGCGGTAGCTATCTATATTACTACCCGGTTTACCCGGTTTTTGTATGGGAATAATATTCGCCACTTTCAGACTACTAGGATAGTGTTGTAGTCTGAAAATGGCGTTTATTAGGTATGTGGTAGAGCTGCACGATAGCTTTTCTGCTAAGGTTTCTAAGCAATAGGTATATTACTAATATCATCCGGTCCCGGAGCTTTTCTATTTTTGAGACTTTTAATAACCTCACCTACCTCTTTAGGTGGTAAGTGCGTGGTGTGATATTTCTGAGTCTTTGACACTTTGTAGGAGGTTATTGTAGTCTTCATATGTTTCTGTGAATATAACTGTTGTCGCATTAGTATATTTTATCGAGTCCTTGATTATTTCTTTAATTTCACGTGTTAGGCTGCTGTGGTCGTCTGTGCGCCCATCAATGACAATTGGCGGAATGTTTTCTTTTTTCGTATTTTTGTCTTTGTTTACTTATTTTCTTTGGCCTTTTTGGAGAGTAGAATTTCCCTTTATTGGTAAGTTGGGGGTGGCTTTATTCTTTGTTTGTTTAACGACTTCTGAATCTGATTCTTTTTCGGATTCGCTTTCCGAATCACTGATTGGGTCGAATCTGTTAGTGGTTTTAATTGTTGAGGCTGCTTTTAATTCCAGGAGTTTTGTGAAATTAGTTTTAATTTTTTTCACTTTTTTGGGAACTGATACTCATCGTTTGGTGTATTGTTGTTTTGTATGATATTGTTTTCGGGAGACCTATTTTTCCTTTTTGCTAGTAGTGTGGGTTGTGATGGTGGGTATTTTGACAGGGTGGTGTTGCTTTGTCTCTCGTCTTCGCTTGATGTGATGGTATTATGCGTCTGTCGCGAAATTCAGAACTTTCGCGGTAACTGTGCTCGGCATAGCAAGGGTTTTGAATCCGCTTTCGTTTCGCACTAATTTATTAATTTTCGCGGGATTTTGTGATACAACTTTTTTAATCGCGCCGGTGTTCGGTTTCACTTGCATATTATCTGTGCTATTACTTTTATTCGCGTTATTATTTTCACTGTTGATTAGGTTTACATCCGCACTGTTTGTGTTATTATGTTGTATTATTGGCGTACTCGCACTGTTAGCCGTGTTAGCCTCAACATACGCACTGTCGAATGCATTAATCACGCTCGAGTTAAACGGGGAGTTTTCCGCACTTGCAAATTGTAGTGTTAGGTCTCCACTGCCTGGTGATCCATCTTCATCCATAGTGGAGTCTTCGTAATTTCCTCCTTCCTCGTCCGGGGGTGTGTAGAACGCTTCTGTGTTATCATATTTAATTATTTTTTGGATATCAGTGGGTGTGCTACTTTCTGATTTCTTGCTTCTGTCTTCCCTATCTATGCTCGAGTGCCGAGATGAGTTTTTTATGCGTTTCTTTGATGTATTTTTTGACCCTGTTTTACTTATATGAGAGCTACTCGAGCTATGTGACTCCTTTCGTTCTCTAGTATCAGTTCCCTGTCTAAAAGTAGTAGGTTTAGGGGTACTTACATGTTTATATGGATGATGTACGCTCCTTTCTGTTTTAAGAATTATTGGGCTTCTTGGGCTAATGGGTTTCTGTTGTCCTTCCATTCCCTTTTCATATTTTTCTCTTTCTTTCCTAGAGTATATAGTTTCTAAGGGCTTATCCGTTGAATCCGTGATTTTATTTGAGGATTTATTGTGGTTGTCGGCCCCTTCGGGCTTCGACATGGGTGGAAAACCGCTCCTAGATGAGCTGTTTATAACTTTACCTGGCTGTGAATTTGATATGCCCGTCGAAACTTAAAACACTTAAAATTAAATTAAAAATTATGGCAATAAGCTGAATGGGCAGACCGTTTGCAAATCAATAAATTTTTATGAAATCATTACATAGCAAGACCTCCAAATACATTTTTTAGGTTTTTAAAAATGCGCGGATAGGCGAATAAATTCCAAATACAATTTTATACATTACATTAGTTGTGATCAAATAAAAAATAATAAAAGGAGCAAATATTTTAAATATAATTTTTAGCTATGGTGTGGGCGGACTGTCGCTTAGATTATTTAGTTTGTCCAAAACAAACTAAAAACCCAATTTAAGAGAAGAAACTGCCATAAATCCTTGATTTGATTTAAATGCATAAAGATTACTACTATTAATATAGGAAATAAGGTTTAAGTAATTCCAAGAAAGCCACATTGAAAATGCGTTTGTGAATTTGTACGGAGTACGAGGGTAGATCAATAAGTACCCGTGTTTGAAGGCAGGTGGCGTTGCTGAGGGAAGTTGGCATTACTGTCATGTACCATACGTGTTTTGCATTAATTGAAAAAATGGAAAAAGAACAATATCGACCCGTAATTCGCTTTTATTTTAAAGACCTAAAAACATATTTGGAGGTCTTGCTATGTAATGATTTATTATTTTTTTGAATTATAATAATGTATTAAATCATTCATACTAGAAATTATACCTGGATTTTCGTGATAAATATTGGTTTTTGTCATTTTGATAAAGTAAGGTTTATCCGCGAAATCGCGCGATTTTAAAGACCTAAAAAACATATTTGGAGGTCTTGCTATGTAATGATTTATTATTTTTTTTAATTATTATGATGTATTGAATCATGCATGCTAAAAAATATACCTGGATTTTCGTTTTAAATATTGGTTTTTGTCATTTTGATAAAGTAATGTTTATCCGCGGAATCGCGCCATTTTAAACACCTAAAAAACATATTTGGAGGTCTTGCTATGTAATGATTTATTATTTTTTTGAATTTTAATAATGTATTGAATTATTCATACTAAAAACTATACCTGGATTTTCGTGCTAAATATTGGTTTTTGAAATTTTGATAAAGTAATGTTAATCCGCGGAATCGCGCCATTTTAAACACCTAAAAAACATATTTGGAGGTCTTACAATGTAATGATTTATTATTTATTTGAATTATAATAATGTATTGAATCATTCATACTAAAAAGTATACCTGGATTTTCGTGCTAAATATTGGTTTTTGTCATTTTGATAAAGTAAGGTTATTCCGCGGCACCGCGCTCTTCAAAAGTCCTAAAAAACGTATTTACAGGTCTTGCTATGTACTGATTTATTATTTTTTTGAATTATTATAATGTATTGAATCATTGATACTAAAAAGTATACCTGGATTTTCGTGATAAATGTTGGTTTTTGTCATTTTGATAAAGTAATGTTTATCCGCGGAATCGCGCTATTTTAAACACCTAAAAAAAATATTTGGAGGTCTTGCTATGTAATGATTTTTTTTTTTTTAACTATAATAATGTATTGAATCATTCATACTAAAAAGTGTACCTGGATTTTCGTGCTAAATATTGGATTTTCTCATTTTGATAAAGGTTATTCCGCGGAACCGCGCTTTTCAAAAGACCTAAAAAGCGTATTTACAGGTCTTGCTATGTAATGATTAATTATTTTTTTGAACTATACTAATGTATGGAGTCATTCATACTAAAAATTTTATCTGAATTTTCGTGCTAAATATTGGTTTTTTTCATTTTGATAAAGTAAGGTTTATCCGCGAAATCGCGCGATTTTAAAGACCTAAAAAACGTATTTACAGGTCCTGCTATGTAATGGTTTATTATCTTTTTTAATTATTATAATGTATTGAATCATTGATACTAAAAAGTATACCTGGATTTTCGTGATAAATGTTGGTTTTTGTCATTTTGATAAAGTAATGTTTATCCGCGGAATCGCGCCATTTTAAACACCTAAAAAACATATTTGGAGGTTTGCTATGTAATGATTTATTATGTTTTTAAATTATAATAATGTATTGAATCATTCATATTAAAAATTGTACCTGGATTTTCGTGCTAAATATTATTTTTTATTATTTTGATAAAGTTATGTATATCCGCGGAATCGCGCCATTTTAAAGACCTAAAAAATATATTTGGAGGTCTTGCTATGTATTGATTTATTATTTTTTTGAATTATACTAATGTATGTAGTCATTTATACTAAAAATTTTATCTGAATTTTCGTGCTAAATATTGGTTTTTGTCATTTTGATAAAGTAAGGTTTATCCGCGAAATCGCGCGATTTTAAAGACCTAAAAAACATATTTGGAGGTCTTGCTATGTAATGATTTATTATTTTGTTGAATTATAATAATGTATTGAATCATTCATACTAAAAAGTATACCTGGATTTTCGTGCTAAATATTGGTTTTTGTCATTTTGATAAAGTAACCCAGCTGGCACAAAAACATCCCATCTACGTTAATAAGCTGCAATTTTAGGCTCTTTAAGCTCGCATGCAATGTACTGTAAATGTAACCCTTGTCTCCCTGCAACTACCGAATGTCCGCAACGGCAAGACTTTTATAGCACATCTCACAGAAGTTACAAAGTGAAGTTCGAAAAACATCACACTAGCACTTTTACGGTACTTACCCCGAAAGTTGCTCTGAAACGTTCTATTG